GAAGACACAACAACACAAAATCTATGGGATGCGGTGAAAGCAGTTCTGAGAGGGAAGTTCATAGCACTACAGGCTTACCTCAAAAAACAAGAAAAATCTCTAAAAGACTATCTAACCTCACAATTTAAAGAACTAGAGAGCAAACAAAAAGAAAATGCCAGAGCAAGTAGAAAGAAGAATATAATAAAGATCAGAGCAGAAATAAATGACATAGAGACCAAAACAACAATTCAAAGGATCGAAGAAACAAAGAGCTGGTTTTTCGAAAAGATAAACAAGATTGATAGACCCTTAGCTAGACTCACCAAGAAACAAAGGGAGAAAACCCAAATACACAAAATCAAAAATGAAAGAGGAGAAGTAACAACCAACACCACAGAAATACAAAAGATCATTAACAGCTAGTATGAACAACTATATGGCAACAAATTCGACAATCTAAGCAAAATGGACAAATTTCTAGAAACACATAGTCTCCCAAAACTGGACCAGGAAGAGATAGAAAACTTGAACAAACGAATAACAACAGAAGAAATTGAAGATGTAAGCAAGACTCGCCAGTAAACAAAAGCCCAGGCCCAGATGGCTTCGCAGGCTAGTTTTACCGAACATTCAAAGAAGAACTAATACCCATTCTCCTCAAAGTATTTCAAAAAATTCAAGAAGAAGGAACACTTCCAAACTCGTTTTATGAAGCTAGCATAATTCTAATTCCAAAACCAGAAAAAGACACTACAAAGAAATAAAACTACAGGCCAATATCCCTGATGAACATAGATGCCAAAATCCTGAACAAAATACTAGCAAATTGGATCCAGCAATACAACAAAAAAATTATTCACCATGACCAAGTAGGATTCATCCCAGGGATGCAAGGTTGGTACATATTCGCAAATCAATACACGTGATACACCACATAAATAAAATGAAGAATAAAAACTACATGATCATATCAATAGATGCCAAAAAAGCCTTTGACAAAATCCAGCATCCATTTCTGATAAAAACGCTCAGCAATGTGGGTATTCCCACATATGATCCCACAAGGATCATATCTTGACATAATAAAGGCCATATATGAAAGACCTATAGCCAACATCATACTCAATGGGCAAAAACTAAAAGCATTTCCCTTAAGAACACGAACAAGGCAAGGATGCCCACTTTCGCCACTCTTATTTAACATAGTACTGGAAGTCTTAGCCACAGCAATCAGATAGGAAGAAAAAATAAAAGGGATCCAAATTAGAAAGGAGGAAGTGAAACTGTCATTATTTGCAGATACTATACTATACTATACGTGACATGATACTATACGTAGAAAACCCCAAAGACTCCATCAAAAGTTTACTAGACTTAATAAATGAATTTGGCAAAGTAGCAGGATACAAAATTAACCTCAAGAAATAGATGGCATTCTTATACACCAAGGATGAACTCACAGAAAGAGAAAGTAAGAAAACAATCCCATTTACCACTGCAGCAAAAAAATTAAGATACCTAGGAATAAATTTAACCAAAGAAATAAAGGACTGATTTGCAGAAAACGACAGGTCATTGAAATAAGAAATAGAGGAAAATATAAAAAAGTGGAAGCACATACCCTGTTCATGGATTGGGAGAATTAACATCATTAAAATGTCCATATTACCCAAAGCAATCTATAGATTCAACGCAATCCCCATCAAAATACCAATGGCATACTTCACAGAATTAGAACAAGTACTTTAAAAGTTCATATGGAACCAAAAAAGACCTCGAATAGCCACAGCAATCTTGAAAAAGAACAAAGTTGGAGGGATCACATTACCAAATTTCTGGTTATACTACAAAGCCACTGTAATCAAAACAGCCTGGTACTGGCGCAAGAACAGGCATATAGACCAGTGGAACAGAACAGAGAACCCAGAAATGGACCCCAGGCAATATGCTCAATTAATATTTGACCAAGGTGGTAAGAGCATACAGTGGAGTAAGAACAGCCTCTTTAATAAATGGTTTTGGGAAAATTGGACAGCTACATGCAAAAAAAGGAAACTAGACCATCAACTTACTCCCTACACAAGAATAAACTCAAAATGGATAAAAGACTTAAATGTGACTCATGAATCCATAAAAATCCTGGAAGAAACTGTAGGCAGCAAAATTTCAGTCATCATACGCAGCAGGATTTTCACTGATACAACACCTAAGGCAATAGAAACAGAGGAGAAAATGAACACATGGGACTACATCAAACTCAAAAGCTTCTGCACAGCAAAAGATACAATCATCAAAACGGAAAGGCTACCCACTGTATGGGACAGCATAACTTACAATGAGTAAGTTATAGAGTGCTCATACAACTCCACAAAAGGAAGACAAAGAATCCAATTAAAAAATGGGCAGAGGAACTAAATAGACACCTCTCCAACAGGACATATAAATGGCTAAGAAACATATGAAGAAATGCTCATCATCACTAATCATCAGAGAGATGCAAATTAAAACAACAATGAGGTATCACCTCACACCTGTCAGAATGGCCGCCATCAACAAATCATCAAACATCAAGTGTTGGCGAAGGTGTGGAGAAAAGGGAACTCTAGTGTACTGCTGGTGGGAATGCAGACTGGTGCAGCCACTATGAAAAACAATATGGTGTTACCTCAAAAAATTAAAAATTGAACTGCCATTTGACCTAGTGATTCCACTTCTAGGAATATACCCTAAGAAGCCGGAAGCACCAATCAGAAAGAATATATGTACCCCCATGTTTATAGCAGCACTATTTACAATAGCTAAGATCTGAAACAGCCCAAGTGTCTATCAGTAGACGAATGGATCAAAAAGCCGTGGTACATATACACAATGGAATACTACACAGCTGTAAGAAAGAAAGTTCTCTTATCCTTTGAGACTACATGGAGGAACCTGGAAAGTATCATCCTAAGTTAAACAAGCCAAACAGAGAAAGACAAGTTTCATAGGATCTCACTTATTTGTGAAATATAATGAACATAACAATCTGAGGAATGGGGCAGTCCCGAGACGTGGAAGTGGGGTACAGACTGACAATCCCCAGAAGAAGGGGTGGTGGGGGGAGAGATAAACCTCAGAACTTATATGCATTTATTCATGAACAGTAGACACAGACAACAAACTGAGGACAGGGCAGGGACGGAGGAAGAGGGGGGATCAGTGGAAAAAGGAGTAACATCTGTAACAAAAATTAATAAAAAAAATAAATAAATAAAAAAAATCAAAGGAGAGATAAGATGAGAAAAAGCAAAAGTAGTTCATCACCAAACCACTATTATAAGAAATGTTAAAAGAACTTCTTTTAGAAGAAGAGGTTAATAAAAAAAGAACATAAGCCCTGGGCAGTTTGGCTCAGCACTTGGAGCGTCGGCCTGCCGACCAGAGAGTCCCAGATTCGGTTTCCACTAGGGGCATGTACCCCCCAAAAAAAGGACATAAATATCATAATAAAATGACAATATCTATGTACCTATCAATAATCACTTTAAATATACATGGATTAAATGCTCCAATCAAAATACATAGAGTAGCTAAATGGATAAGAGAAAAAGAGCCATACATATGTTGTCTACACAAGACCCACTTCGATTAAAAAGACACATAGACTAAAAGTAAAGAAATGAAAGAAGGTGTTTCTTACAAATGCAAATGAACAAAAGGCTGGGGTAGCAATACTTATATCAGATGACTCAACAATTATATTTCTGAGTATTTATCCAAAAAATCCAAAACACTAATTCAAGATGATATATGCACCCCAAGTTCATCACAGCATTATTTACAATAGCCAAGATATCAAAGCAATCAAAGTGCCCATCAATAGACAATTAGATAAAGAAGATATGGTACATATATATAATAGAATATTAGTCATAACAAATGTAATCTTACCAGGTGCAAACCAAGGATGGAGGATATTATGCTAAGTGAAATAAGTCACACAGAGAGAGACAAATAACATGATTTCACTTATATGTTGAATCTAAAGAACAAAATTAACAAACAAACAAAACAGAAAGAGACTCATAGACAGAGAACAAACATGGTTGCCAGATGGAAGGGGGTTTGAGAGGTTGGCTGAAAAAGGTGAAGGGATTAAGAAGTACAGATGGTAGTTACATGATAGTCACAGGAATGTAAAGAACAGTGTCAGGAATTTATATACTCAATAATATAGTAATAACTACATATGGTGCCAGTTGGGTACCAGACTTATCAGAGGGATCACTTCATAAATTACATAAGTGTCTAACCAGTATGTTGTACACCTGAAACTAACATAAAATAATATTGAATGTCAACTGTAATTTTTTTTTAAATGTTTTTAAAGAATAATATTTAGCAGATCATTGGCCTGCCATAAATATTTGGGGGATGAATGAACAAAGACTGAAAAATATTATTAAGTGTCTAACAAAATATATTAATATAACTTTCAATTTTCAGAGCCACTTTACTGTATTGCATCCCTAATAGTTAGGTGCTTGTAAAATACATAAAACTAACAAATACGATGACTGTTCTTCCCCTTTGGCCTAAATGCACACTCATGCGTGCACACACACAAGAAGTTCACTACCAAGGGTAAAGAACCCTGAAAAGACTTTATAGCACTCTTTCCTTAGCTTAACACTTGAAAATATTGAAGAGATATGTTGACTTCTGCTGTTATCTTAGAGCCAATTAACATTTCAACTGTAATTCTATGAGTCAAAAGTATTTTTCAAATGTCTGCAAAATAAGAAATAGAAAAATTAGCAAAAACTACAGACAGACAATTCACAGAAATTTAAACTGCCAATAAATATATGAAAAATGTTCACGTAGGTTAATGTTGTTTAAAGGTTAATTTTCAGGAACTTAAAATGTGTTGGGAAGGGAGAAAGAGCAAAATTGCTTCAAGAAAACCAACATTAGTAAGAGGTTTCTTATTGAAACTGGAAAATCTATTCACTGATGCACTTGTGGTACTGAAATACCTGTGATGGAACAATAGACGATGTGAGGAGCAATCTTGTCTATGTCTTCGTATCCCAGGCCCATTGCAGACAGTTTGCCAGGAATATAGTTTTCCACAAATACATCACAAACAGCTGCAAGCTGAAGGAAGAGGTGAAGGTGAATCAGACTTCTTGAAGGACTACCAAACTTTCAACAAATCCTCACATTATGAATTCTAATTTCAGTAAACAAAACTGATCCTCACTTTTGTAATAGTCCAGAAAAAAATCATAGGAAAAGTAGAATTAGATCAACATAAAGGCCCTGGTCAACTACTTGAGGCATTACTGCCAGTAGAACAACGGCCATTAAAGTTTTCAGTAAACACTATAGTATTAAATGGATTCCGCACATGTTAAATGTAAAAATATCTAGGCTACATTTTCCAAATATATTTTCAGGAGTCTAGGTTAAAAATATATAAGTACAGAAATATATAAAAAACATATTTTAACCCTTAAAAAAACTAAATACAATGTCTTTACTACTTCTCCATCCTTATTATGTGATACTCCTCACTACAATATGCACATATAGCCACTTAATATATGTGAATATGATTCTGAAATGCTCTTATACTTTTCAGATGTTTTCTTTTCAAAGTGTGTTAAATATATTTAATAACCCATTTAAAAAACTATTAAACTGTAATCCAGTGAATTAATAACTGTCTGAAACAAAACATAAATTTTGATTCCAATATCACTGCTATAGGAATTGGAGGACAATGAAGTACTAAAAACCTTAATTGTAAAATTCTTTTCAAAGTTTCAATTGTGATTACATATTTTTTTAAATCATTTTTAAAGTCATTATAGAAATTATTCTAGGTCACCCAGAGAAATTCATTACAATAATCCTTGAAAACATCCAAGTAATAAACTATTCAATACATTTTTTAATTCCCATGTTGAAAGAGATTTAGATATATTCAAACATACAATTAATGTAACAGAATCAGACTCTAGGGGTGAGCAAACTTTTTCCATAAAAGGTCAAATAGTAAATATTTTAGCCATTGAAGGCCACATACATTCTTTGCCATACATTCTTTATTTTTCTTTAACAATCTTTAAAAATGTAAACATCCATTCTTACTCCATGAGCCATACAAAAACAAACCTGATTTGGCCCACATAAGTTTATCAGCCTCTGTTCCAAATGAAAAGGCTGAACTAATATAAACTTTGGATAAAAACACATAAATAAATTGAGTGTTTGTCTATTACTATGTCACCAAACTTGGATTATGTATATGGAATTGCCTGACAGAACCAAATTTTGGGAGGGATATCTTAGATAACCAAATTGGGGGGGGGGGGGGTAGCAATATCCTCCAGAGCTCCTGAAACAGGCACGAGAAGCCTAGGTGACCATCTGCAGGAGAGGAATGATCAATATATTAAGATAGAAGTTTTAGCCTGGCAGGTGGGGCTTCAGTGGTTGAGTGTTGACCCATGCACCAAGAGGTTGCTGGTTCGATTCCCGGTCAGGGCACATGCTCTCAGGCTGCAGGCCAATCCCCAGTGGGAGTGTGCAGGAGGCAGCTGATGGATGTTCTCTATCATCAATGTTTCTACCTCTCTCTCTCTCCCTCTCCCTTCCTCTCACCCTAAAATAAATAATGAAAAATATTTTTTTAAAAAGATAGAAGGTTTAAGTATGCACCCCAAATTTCAAGCATAAGCATCCTCTCCAAATTTCAGGTGCCAATTAACATTTGACCTGTGTTTCTCCTATGGGCAACTCCATGCAGCTTGCTCCAGGGAGAGTCCCAATAAACATGCATTTATTGACTGTTAATTTTATACAAAGTATTGCTTGGGGGTTTGTGGGGAGGGCAGGTATTAGTGTTAAATAGAACACAAAGCTACAGCTACACATCAATTTATTTCACAAGTTTCTCTGAGCCTCTATTTATTACTTACAAGGCATTCCTGCAGGCACTAAAGAAAACAAACTACTTATATCAAACACATCTAGGCTTCTACACTGGTCATCTCTCACTGCACGAATTCTGCATGTTGCATGATACAGTACCTTATGCAAATGATATCTAATAATAAATTATTTTTATTTTTAAAAAACCCTGTATCGCCCTGGCCAGTTTGGCACAGAAGTTAAACCATAGGCCTGCGGTCCCGAGAGACCCGGGTTCGGTTCCCGCTAGGGGCACATACCTCGGTTGCAGTTTGTCCCCGGCCCTGGTTTGTCATGCAGGTGGCAGCCACTCGATGTGTCCCTTTCACATCTATGTTTCTCTCTCTCTCTCTCTCTGTTCCTCTCTCTCCCACCCACTTTACCTGAACAAACAATGGAAAAATGTCCTCGGGTGAGGATTAAAAAAAAAATCCCTGTATCAGTTCCTTAAAAAATTGAACAGAATTACCATACAACGGCAGCAATGCCACTCATAAGTATATACCCAAGAGAATTAAAAACAGGGACTCAACAAACAGATACTTGTTTGCAAATGTTCATAGCAGCATTATTTACAATAGCCAAAACATGGTAACAACCCCTGTCCAGCAACAGACAAATGTATTCATAACATGGAATATTATTCAGCCATAAAAAATTTTAATACATGCTTACAATATGAAAGAACCTTGAAAAGGTTATGCTAAGTGAATTAACCAGACACAAAAGTACAAATATTGTATGATTTCACTGACATGAAATATCCAGAATAGGCAAAATCAGAGACAAAAAGTAGATAAGAGATTATCCAGGGCTGGGTGGAGAGGGAAGTGGAAAGTTATTACTTAATGTATACAGTTTCTGTCTGGGATAATGAAATATTTTAGAAGTAGATAGCAGAAATGATTGTACATTGGATGTAATTAATGCCACTGAATTGTAAACTTGAAAACGATTAAAATGAAAATTTTTGTTATATATATTTTACCACAATAAAAACAATTTTTTTTTTTTTTTTTTTTTTTGTGGTACGTGCTTCTACTAGCGGGTACCGAACCCGGGACTCTCTGGTCCACAGGCCGACGCTCAACCGCTGAGCCAAACTGACCAGGGCTAAAAACAAAATTTTTAACAATGTTGGGGATTTATATTTTTAGACTTCTATGGAATCCTAAATCACATCTCAATCCATATAAAGCATCCAGATGGAGCATAAATTCACTGTTTCAAAAAAAACACAAATATAAATATAATGAATAAGTTATCCTGATAAGAAAAGTATTCAAAGTATTTTAATTAACTAAAAAAGCAGATTAAAAAATAATATACAAGGTATTATCCCATCTTTTGGGGAGAAACTCTGGTATTCAAGGACATAAAGAGATTTGATATGATACACTAAAATATTCATCTTTTTGCCCATGAACAGGTATTACTTGTGTAATGAGAAAAACAATTTTTTTTTTTTTTTTTTTATCCTCACCCGAGGACACTTTTCCATTTTTTGTACAGACAGAGTGGGAGGGAGAGAGGGAGGAAGAGAGAGAAACATCGACGTGAAAGGGACACATCGAGTGGCTGCCACCCGCACGACCAACCAGGGCCGGGGACAAACTGCAACCGAGGTACATGCCCTTAGCGGGAACCGAACCCGGGTCTCTCCAGACCGCAAGCCGATGCTCTAACCACTGAGCCAAACCGGCCAGGGCGAAAAACAATTTTTTTTTTTTTATGAATTTTTATTTATTTTTTTGTTACAGATATTTTACCTTTTTAACCCATTGGCACCCCCCACCCTACCCCCCCTCCACCCTGTCCCCGGCTTAGTTGTCCATGTCCATTGGTCATGCATACATGCATATAAGTTCTGTGGTTTATCTCTTCCCACCCCCCCACCCCTCATCCCCTCTTCTGAGGGATGTCAGTCTGTGCCCTACTTCCATGTGTCTGGGTCTACTGTATTCCTCAGACTGTTATGTTCATTATATTCCGTATATAAGTGAGATCATGTGGTATTTGTCTTTTTCTGCTTGGCTTCTTTCACTTAGGATAATACTTTCCAGGTCCCTCCATGTCGTCTCAAAGGATAAGAGATCTTTCTTTCTTACCGCTGCATAGTACTCCATGGTGTATATGTACCAATGAAAAACAATTTTTTAACTAAAAATATGCTAAGAGTACAATATTATTTTAAAAAATGAAAAAGCTGAATTTAAAAGCTAAAGATTTCTACTGATAAACATACCCAATATTTTTTTATGATATCCAAGAATTCAATATATATGCATTTTGATATTTATTGATAAAATACCCCTGGGAAGTGTATAAGGCAGAAATTGTCCTTTTCTCCATTTTATAAATATTTATTTTAAATAAAAATAACCACCTCCTCAAAAAATTAAAAATTGAACTGCCATTTGACCCAGTGATTCCACTTCTAGGAATACATCCTAAGAAGCCTGAAACACCAATCAGAAACAATATATGTACCTCTATGTTCATAGCAGCAATATTTACAATTGCTAAGATCTGGAAAGAGCCCAACTGTCCATCAATAGATGAGTGGAAAAAAAAGCAGTGGTACATATATACACAATGGAATACTGTGCAGCTGTAAGAAAGATCTCTTATCCTTTGAGACTCATGGAGGGACCTAGAGAGTATTATGCTAAGAGAAATAAGCCAGTCAAAGAAAGACAAGTATCACATGATCTCACTAATTTATAGAATATAATGACCAAAATAAGGTGGTGAACAAAATAAACCGAGAGACACAGAAGTAGAGTTCAGACTGACATACTCAGAGGACAGGGTGGGAGTGAGAGAAGAGACAGATCAAAGAACTTATGCATAAAATCATAACCAATGGACATAGACAACAACTTTGGGGGGGTAGGAATGGGAGGAGGGTGTCAATGGGGGGGGGACATTTGTAACAAAAATAAATTAATTAAATAATATAAAATAAAATAAATAAATAAAAACTAACAACTTACTAGATATTCTTAGTGAATGTGTCATCCAAAATATTCTCTCCCTCTCTAGTTTCAGGATAGTCAACCATTTCAATATCATGTATATTCCCTATAGCTTTAGCAAAGTCATTCATAAAAATTCTAAACAGAAAAATGCTAAAATCAAAGCCATCAGAAAACTTCCCCTGACTTAACTGATCTCCA